CCTCTGCCCCCAGCTCAATGCCATACAATAGGGAAAGACTGCCACACTCCCAGCTCCTCACTGAAGAGTGAAGGAGTTGGACTGCACATCTGGCATCTCAATTTTTTTGGCTCTTACACAAGGTTGTGTCTTCTTTCTTGGCTTGCTCAGGGAACTGACATATATGGCATAAAGTAATCCCCTGGGGTCTACAGAAAACAAACAGCAGTTCAAACATACCTGCAGACACTTGCAACAGCCCCTGCCCTTGGTTTAGTTCAGAGCAGGCAAAAAGAAACAAACAAACAAAACACACTCTTAGGGAGAATTAATTACCATACAAGTAGTTGCCACAGCCAGTCCACTGAACTCAGAGAAAATAGAAAAACCCTAGATCCCACCTTCTGCCTGGGGAGGGAGCATCCAAGAATACAACCTTTTGGGAGGTTCCAAAGAAAATAACTTCAGTCTCGTTTGTCTCAGAGCAGTGACACCCAGAATTTTCTAAATGCCCTGGGGATTGCTAAGAACAACAACAAAGCAGCTGGAATCATAGAAAATTCTGATAGGTGTTCATAATCTATGAATGAGATGACTGGTGAGGGTCTTCTCCTGTATAGAGCTAGCATGTAAAGTTTTTAAAGGAGTGGCTATTTTTTCTAATGCACAGACACCAATACAGATAGTCAAGATGCTAAAATGAAGAAATAGGAAAATACGTTTGAAATAAAGGAATAAAATAATCTTCAAATATAGATCCTAATGAAATAGAGATATATTATTTCCCTGACAGAGAATTCAAAACTGTCACTGAGGTTAGGAGAAGAATATAAGAGTAAAGTGAGAATTTCAACAAAGAGATCAAAATACTAAAAAAAAAAAAAAAAAAACCCACCAAACAGAAACCATGGACCCAAAATATACAATAACTGAACTGAAAAATTCACTAGAGGTCTTGAAAAGCAGATTAGATCAAGCAGAAGAAAGGATTAGTAAATCCAAAGACAGATCATGGAAATTATTTTTTCAGAAGAGAAAAAAGAAAAACGAATAAAAAAGAGTGAAGAAAGCTTAAGGGGGATACCATCAAAGGATAATTAATGCATCAATTAATATGTTATGGGAATCCTAGAAGAACACATAATCCCACAACCACAGACAAAGATTATTCAAAGAAATAATGGTTGAAAGAAGTTCATCACCACTAGACCTTCCTTACAAAAAATGATACAAAGAGTTTTTTGACAGATCACAAGTTGGGTTGTAAAACAAGTCTTCACAAAACAAGAATAAAATCATCCCAAATATTTGTTCCAACCACAAGAGAAAGAAACTAAAAATCAAGAGCAAAAGGAAAATAGGAAAATTCAAAAATATGTGGATATTAAACAACATGCTTTGAACAACAATGGCTCAAAGAAGATAGCAAATGGTAAATTATAAAATATCTTAATACAAATTAAAAAAAATTCCACAACTTATAGATACAGCAAAAGAAGTACTAATAAGGGGTAGTGTAGTGATAAATGCCTACCTTAAAAAGAAAGATATCAAATGAACCACCTGGCATTACATCTAAAAAAACTAGAAAAAGAAGAACAAATTAAATCCAAACTGTCAGAAGGAAGGAAAAAATAAATGAAATAAAGCAAAACAGTAGAAAGAAAATGACACTAGAAGTTTGTTTTTTGAGCAGGTACAATTAAACGTTTAGCTAACTTAGTTAGGGGGAAAAAGACTCAAATAAAATCAGGAATGAAAGAGGAGACATTACAACCAATACCACAAAATAAAAAGGATCCTAAGAGACTAATAGAACAGTTATATGCCAGTGAAGTGAATAATGTAGGACAAGTAGATAAATTTCCAGAAACATACAACCATCTAAGATAGAATAATGAAGAAATAGAAAATCTAAACACACCCATAACTAACAAAGAGTTTGAATAGGCAATCAAAAACTTCCTACCCACTCTCCCAAAGAAGCCCAGGACCAGATGGCTTCACTGGCAAATTCTACCAAACATTTAAAGAAGAATGAATGCCAATCTTTCTCAAACTCTTCCAAAATGTTGTAGAACATTTCCAAATTCATTTTCCAAGGCCCTGATACCAAAGCAAGAGAATGATACCACAAGTAAAGAAAACTGCTTTCCCCAGCTGCCACCAAGGTGCTCCATCCTTCTGAGGAGGCTGAGGCCACAATGGGATGAGGCCATCTCTTCATCCCAAGACCAGCACCGTGCCCAGCAGCAGCGCTAGCTAGCCCCACACTCACCTGCGCTATGGCCTCTGTCTCCAAACTCAGTTGCATCTACTCGGCCCTCATTCTGCAGGATGATAAGGTGACAATCATGGAGGATAAGATCAATGCCTCATTAAAGCAGCTAGTGTAAATACTGAACGTGGCTTGGCCTGGCTTGTTTGCAAAGGTCCTAGCCAAGCACTCACTGGAAGCCTCATCTACAATGTAGGGGCTGGTGGACCTGCAGCTGGTGCCCTGGAGGCCCTGCCCCCACCATTGCTGCTGCCCCAGCTGAGGAGAAGTACATAGAAGCAAAGAAAGAAGAATCTGAGGAGTCGGATGATGACATGGGCTTTGGTCTTTTTGACTAAATTCCTTTCATAGTATGTTCAATAATAAATTGAACTCTTTGATGTGGAAAAAAAAAAGAAGAGAAAACTATCCTGATGAATATGGATGCAAAATAATTCAACAACATGCTAACAAACTAAATAGGATTCCTCCCTGGGATGCAAGGATGGTTCAACATACATAAATGTTCTATGCCATACTTACATGAGGAAAGAAGGAATCACATAATCATTTCAGTGTGAGACGGAAAAGTGATAAAATTTATTACTATCAGGGTGATATTTGCTTCATAGAATGTGCTGAGGAAGGTTCCTTCCTTCTCAATGTTTTAGAATAATTTCTGCATTATAGGTACAAGCTCTTCTTTGCAGATTTGATAGCAGACATTTGGATATGAATAGAAAACCAAGAGATGAAACCAGTCTCTTACTGCCATCTGATCTTTGATAAACCAAACAAAAGCATACACTGGGGAAAAGAATCCCTATTCACTGGATAACCACATGTAAAAAACTGAAACTGGACCCGTACCTTTCAGCACTCCCAAAATTTGATTCAAGACGGATAAAAGATTAAATCTAAGGCATGAAATGACAAAAATAGAAGATAAAAGAAAGTATGGGAAAAACTCTTGAGAAAGTTGGCCTGGAGAAAGATTTTATGAAGAAGACTTCATAAATTTGCCTCTATAGAGGCATTTGCCTCTATAATATATTTGAATGTCAAATAAGATAAATTTTTTAGAAAAGATATTTTTAGGTCCAGATGCAAATGAATTTGAAATACTAATATCTCAGTATTTCATTTTGAACTGTTGTAATTTGAACTGTTGCAAAAATAAATGGCACTCCCCAAACTAGGCATCTACCCAGAAGAAAAAATAATAATTTTATCATAAAGACATTTGCAATTTTATCATAAAGACATTAGACTGTTTATCACAGCTCAGTTTACAATTGCCAAGATGTGGACACAACATAACTGCCCATCGATCCAGGAATAGATTAATAAACTGTGGTATAAGTATACCATGGAGTACTATTCAGCCATAAGAAAATATGGTAATTTTACATCTTTTGTATTAACCTGGATAGAGTCAAAACACATTCTTAGTAAAGTACGAGAAGAATTAAAGCAAATATCCAATTTTATTTTGAAACCAGCAGATGATCCAATACACACCCACAAAAAAGAAAAACTCATTTCAAATTGGTGGGAGAGGGAACAGAGGAGAGATGGGGAGGGGTTGGGGTGCTCCCACCTAATGGAACACCTCTGGGTGCAGGACACAACGACAAGAGGGCCTCTACCTAAAAAGCTCAAATATTTTGACCCAGTTCTTCTACCCTCACATTAACCTGAAATCAATTAAACAAATAAACAAATTAAGTAAATCAAATTAAATAAACGAGTTAATTAAGTAAACCATATTTTTACACACACCCACAATAAATAAATAAATAAATAAAGTCTTTGCTATGAGTGTTGCTTGTTAGCCAAGAAACTTCACTATGTTTTATGGACAAGGCCAGTTCACATTCCTGCAGATAGTTTCCTGGTATGCGGTCATGACTGCAAAGGTCGGGAAAAGTGGAAGTATGTATCAGAAGACACCTAATAGGATACTCAAAGCAAATATTCACTGATGCTGGTTCATGGCCTTCTCACCCAATAGGCAGGACAGCACATGCCTGTCTTAACTAGAATTCCACATTCAGCAGAAAAACAACGGGGGTGGCCAGGGACAGACTTACAATTTTCTACATTCAACCTAAATAGTTTAACTGCGTATTTTCCTCCAGAGTGAATTCCAATAAACACTCAGTCCTTCAGTGTGCATTTGCCTCTATAATATATTTGAATGTCAAATAAGATAAATTTTTTAGAAAAGATATTTTTAGGTCCAGATGCAAATGAATTTGAAATACTAATATCTCAGTATTTCATTTTGAACTTGAAAATTGCAATGAGAGAAAAAATACCCAGGTGCACTATCAACAAGTGCAAAACAAACAGTAAACAAGCAAAGATCAGATTTTATGCTAAAATTTATAAGGAAGTTTCCCCTTTCCTTCTATTATTCTAATAGAAATCCTTGTCAAATACTATATAATGAAAAAGTTTGAATATAAAAAGTTAGAATTTTTGGTAGCTCTGATTTATGGCTTTATATTTATAGGTTAAAAAGACTTACACAGAGAAGAGAAAGCTGAAGCAGTTCACTAAAGTGGAAATGTGATTTCTGTAACTGCATTTCATTTCAAACTGACGGGAATAGTATAAAAATTCCATGCTTAAATAAATGAAAAGTTACCAGTTGTCTTTGATGTCAGCTTGAGGACTTTTAATTCTCCTTCTCTTGTCCATATTTCAGTAACTGTATGAGACCATTCAATTCTTACTTTATGAACACAGAGTAAAATACCTTTATGTCAGGAAATTGGCCCAGGTAGGTATCCAGTGTCAGCAAGGATCCATCCACTAGTTTTTGATGGAAGTCTTCCCACAGTACATCACATTTCTAAAAGAAAAAGCAAATTAGGCAGCTGGTGGATTATTTTAATTGGATACTCCTCACCAAACTTCTAAAAACTCTGAATCTGTAAAATCAGACAAGTAATACTTTCCCAGATATTAGATGTTAAAAATACAATAAAATCTTAATGCTATTCGGCCACTCATTCTAATTAATAATATAGGCTTGGTAAGAGCTTAATAAAAATCTACTTCTGATTCTACACTACTAAGGAACGTAGAAATGTCAAAAGATCTCCATATTCCTATGGATGGCCTCTGGGGCTAAGAGACAGAGAAGAACTCCACTGAAATAACGGCTTCTAACACAATCCATGAAATTAGATACCACCCTGGACTGAAACAAAAAACAATCCACTGCTTAAGCTTCCACAGGGGAAGGAGAAAAACGAGTCTTGTTAGCAAGGGCCTTAACCACTTAGAGGATCAACTATGATAAACACAATGAATTACTATTATTACAACTACTATTAACTACCATAACTATGTGAAGGCATGGATTCAACTCTTTATGTCAGTGTGTGTGTGTGTGTGTGTGTGTATGTGTGTGTATGTGTTTGTTTATGATGCACAAATAGTCATTTAATTCTCACAACAGTTTTATAAGAAAAGACTTATTATTGCCACCATATAGAAGAGAATACTGAAGTCCAGAGATGTCACATAACATGGCCATGATCATTCAGTAGATTAATGACAGACACAGGTTTCAACTCAGCTCTATCTCCTTGAATTCAAAGTCCATGAGCTAACTATTACAACAGGCTGTCTCAAAAGAGTAGGAGTCCTATCCCAGCTATGTGATTTTGGGAAACTGAACCTACCTGAAGTTGAAGTTCAATTTATCCAACTAAATGAATTGATTTATGTAATGTCCTTCACAGAATCACAGATAAATGGCAGGTGCTCAAGAATGTCATCTCTACATTTCTCTCACTTCTGAAAGAATCTTCTGCTTGTTCCCTAGTCTCTATGCTTTCATTCTTCTCAGGAATGGATCTTCCAGTTATACCTGGGCACTCCACCACTTAGGATAAGGACTCTCTTTCCCAGATTCCTTTGTATCCTGGTGTAGCCATGAGACTATGTTCTGGACAAGGAGACGTATTTTCAGGGAGGGAGTGATCTTGGTTACAAATCTCAGTTCAATAATTTTATGTAAGCCAAAAAAAAATGTAACTTCACCAAAAAGGCTCATCTTCTAATGTAAGTACACCCTATGAACATATAGTATTCAGTTTCTTCATCAGTAGAGGCCAGAGCTGCATCTGCATCTACGGATACCAAAAATCCTAGCAGCTACAAGTAGGATAACAGCCACTTTCTTTAAAAAAAAAAAAAATCACTCCTACATTGTCACATAATTAAAATAAATTAAAAAGTGTAATGATATTCTGAAAAGTTATTAACAAAGTTTCTATTATTTCAATGTAACCTGGTTCTTTGCACCCTCAAAGAATCCCCAATAATAATAAAAAATAAATAAATAAATATGACAATAACTACCTTAAAGAAAATTCTTTCTCTATGATGAATTTTTAGTAATACACAATTAATCAGAAATGTACAAAGTATTTAGCAACATGATGTTGAAACAATTGTTTTATACTGAAAGGGGAGAAGACACAATTACTTTATAATAGCATTTGAAAATGATGTGCACTGGCTGATTTTTTCAAATCCACACCCTGAAAGTTTTTGAAAGATGCAATATTGTCAATAAGAGCTTTCCTTATTTGATTGGAAGAAAAACCAGAGTATCCCATTTGATCCTGCAATCCCATTACTGGGCATCTCCCAGAAGAAAAAAAAACTCTTTTATCATAAGGACACTTGCACTAGATTGTTTATTGCAGCTCAATTTATAATCGCCAAAATGTGGAAACAGCCTAAATGCCCATCAACCCAGGAATGGACTAACAAGCTGTTGTATATGTATACGATGGAATACTATTCAGCCATTAAAAAGATGGAGATTTTACATCTTTTATATTAACCTGGATGTGGAAGTGGAACCCATTATTCTTAGTAAAGCATCACAAGAATGGAGAAGCAAGAATCCCACGTACTCAATTCTGATACGAGGATAATTACTGACCTAGTACACAGTGGAGGGGTTGAGAAAGGGGAGAGCCAAGAGAGGGAAGGAGGAACGGAGGGTGGGAGGTCACAGTGTGTGACACACCTTTGGGGAGAGAGACACAATTATAAGAGGGACTTTACCTAGCAAATGTGATCAATGTAACCTGGTTCTTTGTACCCTCAATGAATCCCAGGTAATAATAAAAATAAATAAAGGTGACAATAACGACCTTAAAAAAAAAAAAAACAAGCGCTTTACCCATGAATAAATCTGTTTTTAGCTTAGTTATAATGAGATTATGAAGATTAATGTCAGGATTGATCACATCTTCCTGCCCATACCACTCGGGTCAGAACTGTCATGGAGCAGCCTTGCACTCCACTCATAACCCATCTTTCTCAAGGTTGCAGAGATGTTCATCTCATCATGTTATGAGACCTTCCCCTGACCTCTGGCTGCCACATCTAAATTAGGTCTTCTGTGCCTAAATAAGTGGCAATAACTCAACTGAAGTAGTGGATATGACAAATAATTGCTCTTTGTTTTATCAAAGAACTTATATGTGAGAGAATCCTGGATGGCTGATGATCAATAATCATAACATGCACCAAGCACTGGCGAGGCAGATGACATACACACAGAGGCTATAAACGTGTTGTGAGCACATACAATTATTGTTTTTATTTCACAGATGAGGAAACTAAATCCCAAGAAGATTAAAGAACTGGTCTGGGCTGGTGCAGTGGCTCACACTTGTAATTCTAGCACTCTGGGAAGCCAAGATGGGTAGATTGCCTGAGCTCCAGATTCTTGCCTTAGCAAGAGCGAGACACGCCCCCCCCCATCTCTAATAAAAATAGAAAAATTAGCAGGACATTGTGGTAGGCACCTGTAGCTACTTGGGAGGCTGAGAATCACTTTCTCCCAGGAGTTAGAGATTTCTGTGAACTATGATGATGTCATGGCACTAAACCCAGGGCAACAAAACAAAACAAACAAAACAAACAAAAGAACTGGCCCACCATCACACAGAACTACTCTGACTCTGTGCCAGTCAGCTTTCCACAAAGCAGAAATACCGACTTGCTTACATCCTGCCAGCCACACGGTCCTCAGCTGGAAGTCTGACTTCAGATGTTAAGATATGTCTAGGGCCAAAACCCTCCTCAAGTCAAATGTTGTGAGTGGGTTGAATTTGCACTTGCCTCTAGACTGCAGATCAGTGGAGGGACCAGCTGGTGTTATAATGGGATGGGTGTGCTTACTGTGTGCAGTCAGTCAGTAGCAGGATGGGGGCAAAAGGTCAAGTTCAGACACAAAGCCATGCCATTACCCATTTCTCTAGAAATGAGTTGTTAAAACCTATACTGACAACAGAAAAATGATATTGTTATTTTAAAGAAATGACACACTTCTGCCCATGGTTTTATAGTCCTCTTCACTGTTCATGGTAAGTTCAGGATGATCAGAGAGCAGAAGACCTCACACCTCCTGTGTGTACTGTCTCCTTTCATGATTAAGACCATGAGGTATGAAGGGGGTCAAGGGGACAGGAGGAATGAGCAGGACTGAGTGCGACCCTTACAGAAGCCGCCTGGCTCTTACCTCGCCAACCATCTTCACATCTTCCCGCCCATACCAATCTGGTTCATAGACTTCATGCAATGACTCCGTGAGCTTCATTGAGGCCTCTTGCATGCCTGGTGTTGGAGAAAAACAACTCCTGTTACATGGAAATGGGTGATGAGTTGCTTCCCCATCCCATAAATTTTGAGTGAGGGAAAAACCTTTGGTACTTGCTAGATACTTAAAAAACAATTGGGAAGTCACAACTACTGCTCATACCCGTAGTCACATCTCTCTTTGCAGGTCTCAAGATTTATTACATTATGAATTTGCTATTATTCACATATTCGTGATATGTATATACAGGGTCTTCAAAAATCCCAACCAGTATCTTATTCCAAATATTAACCAGTAATAGTATGTCCTGTGATGCGTGCTATCCTTGGCTAAGTGGCATTAAGCATTATGACACTAAGCATACTGGTCCTTAAAACTGCAGCATTCCAAAAATAAAATTAGTGAACAGACCTATATCAAGTACTGAAATAGAATCAACTATAAGAAATCTCCCAAAAAAGAAGAGTCCAGGACCAGAGGGCTTCCCATCAGAATTCTACCAAACCTTTAAAGAGAAACTAGTACCTATATTACTTAACCTTTTCCAAAACATCAAAAAAGAAGGAATGCTTCCCAACACATTCTATGAAGCAAATATCACCCTGATCCCCAAATCAAGAAAGACCAAACAAGAAAAGAAAACTATAGACCAATATCTTTAATGAACATAGATGCAAAAATATTCAGTAAGAATCCTAGCAAACAGAATCCTGCAACACATCAAACGAATTATACACCATTAGCAAGTGGGTTTTATCCCAGGATCTCAAGGTTGGTTCAATATACATAAATCTATAAATATAATTCATCACATAAACAAACTAAAAACCAAAGACCATATGATTCTCTTAATTGATGCAGAAAAAGCTTTTGACAATATCCAGCATCCTTTCATGATCAGAACACTTAAGAAAATAGGTATAGAAGAGACTTTTCTTAAAGTGATAGAGGCCATCTACAGCAAACCCACAGCCAATATCATATTGAATGGAGTAAAATTGAAAGCATTTCCACTCAGATCAGAAACCAGGCAAGGTTACTCATTGTCCCCACTGCTTTTTAACATTGTAATGTAAGTCTTAGGCATCGCAGTCAGGCCAGAGAAGGCGATCAAGGGTATACAAATAGGGTCAGAGGAGATCAAACTCTCACTCTTCATAGATGATATGATTTTATACTTGGAAAACCCCAGGGACTCAACCACAAAACTCTTAGAAGTGATCAAAGAATACAGTAGCATCTCAAGATAGAAAATCAATATTCACAAATCAGTAGCTTTTATATATACCAACAATAGTCAAGCCAAAAAAACAGTCAAGGACTCTATACCATTTAAAGTAGTGCCAAAGATGAAATATCTGGGAGTATACCTAACAAAGGATGTGAAAGATCTCTATAAATAGAACTATAAAACTCTAAGAAAAGGAACAGCCAAAAATGTTAACAAATGGAAAAATATACCATGCTCATGGCTAGGAAGAATCAACATTATTAAAATGTCCATATTACCCAAAGCAATTTACAAATTTAATACAATCCTTATCAAAGCATCACCATCATACTTTAAAGATCTGGAAAAAAATAGTACTTTGTTTTATGTGGAACCAGAAAAAACTTCGAATAGCCAAGACATTACTCAGAAATAAAAACAAATCAGGAGGAATTATGCTACCAGATTTCAAACTATACTATAAATCTATAGTGATCAAAACAGCATGGTATTGGCACAAAAATAGAGAGGTAGATATATGGAACAGAATTGAAAACCAAGAGATGAACCCAGACACTTATTGTCATTTGATCTTATCGTCATTTGATCTTTGATAAGCCTATCAAAAAATATAAATGGGGGGAAATATTCTCTATTTAACAAATGGTGCTGGGAGAATTGGCTGGAGATTTGTAGAAGACTGAAACTGGACCCACATCTTTCACCTGTAACAAAAATTGACTCTCACTGGAAAGAAGATTTAAACTTAAGACATGAAACTATAAAGATTCTTGGAGAGAGTGCAGGAAAAACACTTGGAGAAATTGGCCTGGGAGAATACTTTATGAGGAGGACACCCCTGGCAATTGAAGCAACACCAAAAATACATTACTGGGATCTGATCAAACTAAAAAGCTTCTGCACTTCCAAGAACACAATAAGTAAAGCAAGCAGACAACCCTCAGAATGGGAAAGGATATTTGTAGGTTATGCTTCTGACAAAGGTTTGATAACCAGAATCCACAAAGAACTCAAACTTATTAATAAGAAAAGAACAAGTAATCCCATTTTATTGTGGGCAAGGGACTTGAACAGAAGCTTCTCTGAAGATGATAGGTGCATAGCCTACAGACACTGAAAAAATGCTCATCATCTTTTGTTTGATTCTTTTTCTTTTTTTTTAGAGAAAGAGTCTCACTCTGTCACCCTCAGTAGAGTGCTATCATCACAGCTCACAGCAACCTCCAGGTCTGGGACTTAGGCAATTCTCTTGCCTCAGCCTCCGGTGTAGCTGGGACTACAGGCGCCCAACACAACATCCACCTATTTTTTTGCTGCAGTTTGGCCAGGTTTGGGTTTGAACACACCACCCTCGGTATATGGGGCTGGTGCCCTACTCACTGAGCCACAAGGGCTGCCCAAATGCTCATCATCTTTAAACATCAGAGAAATGCAAATCAAAACCACTTTGAGCTATCATCTAACTCCAGTAAGAGTGGCTCACATAACAAAATCCCACAACTACAGATGTTGGTGTGTATGTGGAGAAAAGGGAACACTCCTGCACTGCTGGTGGGAGTGCAAGCTAATATATCCCTTTTGGAAAGAAGTATGGAGAATACTCAGGCATCAAAAAGTAGACCTGTCATTTGATCCTGCAATTCCTCTACTAGGTGTATATCCAAAAGACCAAAAATTACTTTATAACAAAGATATTTGCACCAGATTGTTCATCGCAGCTCAATTCATAATAGCCAAGTCATGGAAGAAGCCCAAGTACCCATCAACCCATGAATGGATTAATAAATTGTGGTATATGTACACCATGGAATATTATGCAGCCTTAAAAAAGATGGAGACTTTACCTCTTTTTCATTTATATAGATGGAGCTGAAACATATTCTGCTTAGTAAAGTATCTCAAGAATGGAAGAAAAAATATCCAATGTACTATTATGAAACCAATTTACAATCACTCACACTTTCATATGAAGAATAGATCACAACTATGGCCCAAGATAAAGGAGGGAGGAGGGGGAGAAGGGAGAGGAGGGGAGAGGTCAGATCAAGGGAGAGTGAATGGTGGGATCACACCTATGGTGCATAATGCAAGGGTACATGTCAGATCTATTAGTATAGAGTATAAATGTTTTAACACAATAATTAAGTAAACTAGATGAGGTATATATTTACCAGTGTGATACAAGCATTCCTAATTCTATATGAAATCAGCACATTGTACTCCATAAATGCATTAATGTATACATGATCTATATAAGTGATTTAATAAAAAAATTTTAAAAAATAATAAAATTAGTCCCAAACAACTCCAAATATAAGAAACGAAGCACTTTTAGAAGTAGGTAGAGGTAAAAATCAATCAGATTTACGGCATGACAACTGAAGGTGGCTGAATGGTTGAAACTAGTTAAGATTTAAATGGCCTAAAAATTTTACAAAGAACACTGATAAAACAGTTTGCCCTTTTCTAATACAATAAGTCCTTACTTGATGTTGCAGACAGATTTCTGGAAAGTGTGACTTTAAGGGAAAAGATAATAAAACCGATTTTACTACAGGCTCATCCACATCAATAAGAGTTAAGTTCCAGCTTGGCACCTGTAGCACAGTGGTTATGGTGCCGGTCACATACACTGAGGCTGGCGGGTTCAAGCCCAGCCCAAGCCAGCTAAACAACAATGACAACTGCAACAAAAAATAGGGGGGCACTGTGGCGGGTACCTGTAGTCCTAGCCTTGGGAGGCTGAGACAAGAGAATAGCTTAAACCCAAGTGTTTGATGTTGCTGTCAACTGTGACACCACTGCATTCTACCAAGGGTGACATAGTGAGACTCTATCTCAAAAAAAAAAAAAAAAAAAAAAAAAGAGTTAAGTTCCCACAGCATATTTCTGGTCACAAAAACATCACCCAACTTCTAGATAAAGACCAAAACACTTCTAATATTAAACAGAGGAATAAATATGAATGAAATACATACATAATAATATTTAATATTCTTACCGTTGAGTTTAAGAAAATGGAGAAATAAATAACGATTAATAAAAATGAGAAAGATGATTTTCCCAGGTATTCCAGTTCAGAGTTGTGAGAGTGTCTCCCCACAGCTCAGGGTCAAGGAGGAACTAGACCCGGACAGAACGCACTCCCATCACGCCCCCACTCACCCACGCTCGCTCAGACGGCGGCCATGCAAACAGATCAGCAAAGCCCAACATATACATCTCTGGGCTGTGACAGGACACGGGAGGACCAGAGAAAACTCATGCAGATGTGGGAACGTGCCAACTCCATAGGGTGAGTGGCTCTAGCTGGGAACTAATTTTTTTTTTTGGTCATCAACATTTTAACAAAATGATGTTGAATGAAACAACATTATTTTAAGGATCTGTTGTATTATTAAAAGCTATATAAACAGTTTTAACTCAAAACTCTCAGAAACCTTAGGGTTCTTAAGTCAATGCTAAGTCAAATTTTAACTAGGGATACATTTGATAGGTGACAAAACTATGGTTATTATTAACAGTAAAGATGGAAGCTTGTGAGAACATGGTAACTCTAAGTATCACCCCATCCTTTCCGGCCTCCCCTTCCCCCTAGCAGGCCCTGCACAAAGGTTAAAGTGTAGGCAGCCACAGAAATAGCTCACAACTGAGAGCAACAAGGGTTCAGGAAGGGCTGGGGACTTGGAGACGTGCGTGGCACCAAACTGTCCCTAATAGCTGGGAGGTGCAATCTGGTCATGTTGGTGTCTAGGCTTTTGTCACTGTGTGGGGGGGGGGAGTGAA